CCATATCTCGCGAGAGGTGAGCGCGCCTGGCCGGACGAGAGGAAAGTGTCTGCTCTGCTGAGGGGGGAAAGAAGGAGCTGGAGACAGATTGTGGGACCGAGCGCGGGCGGGCGGGAGGCGACGGAGCTACCAGCGGGTGAGTCCTGTTAACATTAACTAGTCCATGATGTGACGGGAGTCTCCCCTTCAACTCTGACCAGTCTCAGTGTCCCAGGCCGGGGTCTCCCCTCCCAGTCTGTGTTGGACGGGGGCGCTGAGGCGGTGGCCGGGCCCTGTCTGAGGAAGAGGGTGGGGCATGGACTAACGCTGACCAATAAGAGAGAAGGAAGCTACGATTGGCGGCGATGAGCACTAATGAGAGATCGTCTTTACCTTGCGGAGTGCCGCCCCTCTTCTCTCCCTCCTCCCGCCTCCTTCCTTTGGGGGGAAGGCGGGGCCAGAGGCCTGAAGTGTGGGGAGAACTTGGGGTAAGTAGCCCCGGGGGGCACAGGGCGTGGCAAGAAGAGGGGAGTTGAATCCTGAGGGAATGGAAGTCTAGTGTAGCCTAATGGAAAGATCAAGGAATGGGGTGGAATGGGAGAAAGGGGAGGGGTACTAAACTGGCTGTAGACCCAGGGCTTCTCAAAGAGTGGGGTTAGGGGCTTGGCACTGGAAGAAGCAGGGGTAATAGGCAGGAGGTAGGGATGAGTAGGTGAAAAACCCATGGCATTGGGTTTGACTGGAAAGATAGGTAGGGGTAAATTCTTGTAAATGAGAGTCATGGCATTTCGATTGAATTATAAAAAAGTATTGGACATGATATCAGAAAAAGTATGGATTTGGAAAAAATTAAGTGAATGAGTTTAGGAAGACTTACTAGGGGTGTGCTTAGTAGCCAAAAAGCATCACTTTGGGAAGGGTATGGGGGAATCCAGAGGTGTAAGGGAGATGTTTGGAAAGAAGACGGCTGATATATATATACAGGTCTGGAGCCTAATCAGAAGAAGCTTGGCATATTGATTTAGGGTTTTTTGGTATATGGCACCCAGTGTGGTGACCAGCCTGCAAGAATGCTGGATAGGGGTAGAGAAGGAGAAAAAAAGAACACTTTCATCACTTCTACTCTGATTTCCTTCCCCCCACCCCCCCTTCCTCTTGCCACACTTCATCTCCTAACTCAGGGATGGGGTCTTGGGATTTAAGCAGTCCAAGCTGGAGCCCCATAGGGAGTTATATGTTGCTCTGAATTGCTTGTTATGTTCTCTGACTGGGGTGTTTACTACCCAGGGCACCTCCTACCCAGATTCCCGTGTTGGTACTTTCCTAACTTGAAAAGTTTGTTTTCTACTTAACAGGAGTGTTTTAGTATCTCTGAGGGTTGTGTCCATAAGTGTAGGTTTGTGGGGTGTGCAGTTTTCTCCCCAGGCTCACTTGATTCCTGTGTTTAAAAACTTTGCAATAGTGTAATTCTTGTAGAGACATCAATCTTTGTAGGTATTCTAAGCACAGAAAAAATGTACTGAACTGAAGTTTATTTTGTTAAATGTGTACCCACTCATATTCTTAAAGAGTTGTTAAATGGATGGTTGCAGTTAGCTTTAGTTAGCTTATATTTTTAAATGGTGTAAATAAAATGGACACATATTTTAGGAAAGTGAAAAACTTTCAGTTTCTTCCTCTGTGTCCAGACTCAGAAGCTAAAGATATGTCATAATATCTTAGGGCAAGGGCTGGGGAAATCAAATACAATTTGTACTTAAATATGGAGGATGTAAGGTAAGTGGAGACTATTGCGAAATGTAACATGACTGTAAGAAAAGAAGCTAAAGAAAAGTTTGGCAGCTATACTAAGTAGTCTTACCAGTTTGTTCTTAATTCTGTATAGAAAAATGACAAGCCTTTTGCCCTTTGATAGTTGTGTATTATTTAATAATGAATTGAACTAATACAGTCAATTAATAACTTCTTTACTATTGCATAGGCTTGTCTTTTACATTTCTTGTCTTCTCCTTTTACTCTTGAGAAGGAAAATAATGTCTGAAATACTGGTAAAACTGTTATATGAAGAGAAACCAGAGTATGTTGCTTTGTATTATTAGCCTTTGGTTTTGAGCAACCATTGCAGCTTTTTCTCCTGGCCAGGAAGTTGCCCCTACAGCACACTGAGACCAATTAATTACTGGTCCTTTAGCATTACTTACTGAATTGGACTGTAGTATTTCACATTCAGAGCATTACTGTTGGACATTCAGACGTTTCACAGTTTGCCTAGAATTAGCACAAAAAAATATCCAATGAGATAGCAAAGTCCCTTGTTTTATTCCTCCATCCTAGAATTTGTGATTGCCCTGACTTGGACATTATTAAATGTAAGATTATTTTTTTTCTCATTAGTGTTAACACATCGCAGAAAGCCTAGAGAGCGCTCATCTTTAAATTTGTGGATCAAAGATTACATCCTGTGATAGTTTCAGTGCTGTAATTTTTAAGCATTTTTGTTTGCCATGGGTTTTAAATGTTAATGGATACCGTTACTGTATCTCTTTTCTTTTTCCTTTCCCCACTTCCAACCCAAAATGAAAGTAGTTTCTTCAGCCAACTCTTAAGCTACTATTTTGCCTCAAGTGAAGTCCCTGGCTCTGCCTGAACACAGCTGCCCTGAAGTTCTCACAAGTTATTGTTTTGTACATGTCAAGACTGAGTTTTTCCTAGGCTGCAGTAGGAAGGAGTCAGTGTTACTGCAGCCTCCTATCCACGTCTGACAAGGAGGAGCCTTCTTGCGAGGAAGTTTTGGGTGGAGCAAATAGCATTGCCATATAAATGTCTAATAAAGACAGTTCCCTTCTTGAGACTAGTTGGCAGGCTGATATATAATTGTCCCTTATTCCTTGGTAAACTAAAGTTAAGGTGCAGATGTTTCTTTGAGAAAAACAAATACAGCATTCATTGAAAAAAAGCGTTAATTTCTTTTGTTGGTTTCTCAGAAAATAGTACTATGATTTTAGAGCTCATAAAGTCTTCCATTTCTTTAGAAATATGTAAGAAAAAACAATTTTTAAGTTTCTCATTTTTGAACGTTGCCTTCCCCTAACAGGCTTCTTTTGGGATCACGTATATTCATGAAATGTGAAAAGGCGTCAAAGTTGGAATTCCTGAGGGATGGTCTTTTAACTTTGAAGACTATAAGGAAAAGATCCCCACTTTGCAGATACCTTGTCCTATTTTGGAGCTCTACTTTTAGAACATTCTTTACATTGTGCTGAAGCCCTTCAGTTCTGCTGTCCGAAGCTATAATAAATAAACCTAATTTCTTGTCAACATGGTAGCCCTTCAAATATTTGATGACAGTTATGTCTTGTTAAGGCTTCTGTTTCCAGAGTAAATATCCCAAGTTCTTTCAGCCATTCCTTAAATGACATTTTTAATAAAGTTCAGGCCCCTCATCAACTTAGTTGCTTAAGTTTTTAGGGCTTCTTATTTGGAGCTGAATATAACATCTCAGAATCTGATCAATATAAAAAGTACAGGGGAAAGTGGCCTTTTTTTTTTTTTTCACTGTACCCTATACCTCTATTCTTAAAGCCTAAGATCACATTAATTTATGTAATTGATTTTTTAAATGTAATTGAGGACTTTACATTTATCCCTGTAATTGTCATCTTGTTAGTTTTGGTTTATTGATTTAGCTTAATAATGTTATTTAGCTTGGGCATTCCTCATATCTTTGTGTCAGTGATAGATAAATTTGATAAACACAACATAAACATACACTTATGTTTCTGTTTTCGGACACTGGTAAAAATATATAAGGGTGGAGCAATGCTATAATACCAACACACTCTTACTAGGTTGATATTAATCCATTAATCAACCTTTTGGGTAAAATTCAGTTATGAATCTACCTACTATTTTATTATCTAACCTGTATTTCCTACAAAGTATTAAGAGGTGCCTTGTTGAAATCTAAATATATTCTGTTTCTGGCTTATTCCTGAGCTCCTAGGCCAGAGACCCTGTTAAAAAGAAAATGAACTTAGACATTAGTTACTATTTAGCTATCTTATGCTGGTGTTTATAGATCACTGCATTACTTGCCAGTTCATAAGCCATCTATTTAATAATTCATTTTATAATCTTCCTGGGAAACAATATTTTGTCAGTCTAATTTCTGGACTCTGCCTCCTCTGCCTTCTATTTATTTTAAGTGTGATTTTCCCCCCATTTCCAAGACTTCTGATCTTGCTCTCCCCATTTTTTAAATGGGTATAGAACAATTAACAGTGTGTCTTTATAGTTGCATGCTTTTTGTCATCAGATGAAATTCTGTTTTGGAAACTATTTTAGGAAGGAATGTTATTCCCTGAACATTTTAAAGTTACGTATTAAAGAATTAAACTATTGTCCATATAACAGTTATATTGTAGCTTTCCATAATATTGACATCTCCAATTTAGACCTAACTTCCCTTTCTGTTTGGAATAAAAACCTACACCACCTGTAAAAAAAATACATACAGACATACACACACACAATTGTCATTTATAATTATAGTTTATTGGTGTGGTGGTTTATGTTTGTCATGCTATGTGCTGTAGGTGAAATGGTGCTACAAATAACATCAGAACACATCTCTGGGAACTAAGACTTTTTGTTGGCAGCCACAACTTTTCTGTGTTAATTTTAGATCTGATAGTTGAATTTATGTTTGAGCAATTTTAGCTGATAAATGCATTTTTAAAGCACCTTCCTCTTTTGAGGTTTTAATTTTTACTTTCATTTTTAGAAAATTGCAAATTGTGAATGTAAATGTTAATGTGGAATAAAGTAGCATTCTGTTGGGGACAAGATACATTTTCTTTTGGTATCTTCTTATCCATCTGAGATTGTTTAATTATGAATTCTCCTGGAAAGCAAAAGGATGGACTTCATGACCCTTCAAGGTCTTTTCCATTCCAAACATTCATAAATAGAAGCTTAGATCAAGGAACTTACTATTGAAGAATCAGGAAGAAAAATAGACTGTAAATAAAATGAAATTGAAATGGTTCTACTGACCCACTGGGAATGGATAAACAAAAAGTAAGGAACATAAATGACTAGAAATAATAACTTTTGAGCCAAAAACAAAACAAAAAATCATCAACAACAAATATTTTG